TAGTCCATGAGAGCTACCATTCGAGGCACATGTGGCTGCAGAGGGCCGCTGTGAAGGGAGTGGGGCCTCACACCTCCTGCCTGCAGCTGACAAGTCGAGGGCTGTAAGCTGCCTACCGAGCCTGCCTGTGCTCTGTCCGGCTCTGGCTGCAGGACAACAGCCTATGGATCAGGGTCTCCCACCATGTAGCCATTTCCTAGGCCAGGGGGAGACCAGAAAGAATGGTAACGTCTTGGGAGAATGTGAGGCTTTGGAGAGAGCACTGAATCCAGAGCTGGCTCTTCTTGCTCTGTGACCTCGCTCTACCTCTAAAGAAGAGAAATTCCTTTATGAGAAAAACGTATCGACCAGGCCCAGTGGCTCATGCCTATAATCACAGCACTTTGGGAGGCTGAAGCCGGTGGATCACTTGAGGTCAGGAGTTCAAGACCAGCCTGGCCAACATGGCAAAACCCCATCTCTACTTAAAAAAAAAAATACAAAAATTTGGCCAAACATGGTGCCTCACACCTGTAATCCCAGCACTTTGGGAGGTCGAGGCAGGCAGATCACCTGAGGTCCAGAGTTTGAGACCAGCCTGGCCAACAGAGTGAAACCTCGTCTGTACTAAAAATACAAAAAATTAGCTAGGCATGGTGACATGCACCTGTAGTCCCAGCTACTTGGGAGGCTGAGGCAGGAGAATGGCTTGAACCTGGGAGGTGGAGATTGTAGCAAGCAGAGATCTCGCGACTGCACTCCAGCCTGAGTGACAGAGCAAGACCCTGTCTCAAAAACAAACAAACAAAAAATTACAAAAATTAGCCAGGCATGGTGGCAGGCACCTGTAATCCCAGCTACTCAGGGGGCTGAGGCACAAGAATCATTTGAACCCAGGAAGTAGAGGTTACAGAGAGCCGAGATTGTGCCGCTGCACTCTAGCCTGGTGCAAGAATTAGACTTTGTCTGAAGAAAGAAAAAAAAGGAAAGAAAGAAAATTTATTTATTTATTTCAAGCATATGTAAAATAACTACCATGAATTCTCACCTATTAGAGATGAAAAGGCCTTTTAAGGGTTAGTCCAACCTCCTAATCGTGTAAATAGGGCTCAAGTCAGGTGACTTGCCTGAGGCCACACAGCTGGAAGGCTGAAAAGGGAGAGCTGTACAGTCCAGTCTATAGCAACTTGCCACACCCGGCTATTCACATTTAAATTAAAATTAAATTAAAAAATAAAATTAGAAGCCAGTTCCTTGTTTGCACTGGCCACACTTCAAGTGCTTGATAGCCACACGTGGCAAGTGGCTCTGTGGGGACAGTGCAGGTACACGACTTTCCCTCACTTTGGGGAGTTGTGTTGGCAGCTCTGGGCTAGCCGTCCCATGCTTCTGACCTGCCTGGTTTCCTTGATGGGGTGCAGCAAGAGGTCCAGCAAAACTGGGGGCAGCCATGGGTCTGTTTACCAGGTCCCCGTCTTATACTCTCCCCACATTGTCACTTGGAGTTCCGATTATGTTGACCCACTTCTTACAAAATGATGAATGGGCTGAGTGTGGTGCCTCACGGCTGTAATCCCAGCACTTTCAGAGGTGGAGGCGGGTGGTCATCTGGGCTCAGGAGTTCAAGACCAGCCTGGCAAACATGGTGAAACCTCGTCCCTACTAAAACAAAAATTAGCCGGGCGTGGTGGAGCACACCTGTAATTCCAGCTACTCAGGAGGCTGGGAAAGGAGAATCGCTGGAACCTGGGAGGTGGAGGTTGCAGTGAGCTGAGATCGTGCCACTGCCCTCCAGCCTGGGCAACAGAGTGAGACTCCATCTCAAAAAAACAAAAAATGAGAAAAAAACAAATGATGAATGATTCCAGTAGTCCCACTTAAAAGTACCCATTTCTGTAAAAAGCACTGGGCCAGTGGCCCACTCTGTCAACCTCCGGAGAGCAGCAGCCAGGCCTTCTGGACTCAGCCAAGCATGACCAATGGCCTTGGGCTAAACATTCTGAAGCCCGGAGGAAAGAAGCCCACGGAAACTTCTACCAATTGTGGCATGGCCAGGAAGCACACAGGTGGGTGTCAGGGTCTGAGTCAAGCCAGTGTTGACCATAGTCAAGACTGTCAAGTCCCCTCCTGTGTAACTGAGAGGGTCAGATATAAGGATCGATGGCCTGCTCTAACATTCTCTGTGCTTATAGGGGACACATGGCCTAGTGCCTCCCAAAAGGCATAGGGAAAAGAAATCCTTGGCCTTTAATAAAGCATAGTATTACCTGTAATTTCTCATTCTATGTCAGTGATTTCTAATATTTAGGGGATTACAGGTCCTTTAAGTAGCTACTGAAAGCTAGGAATCTTCCCCCAGAGAAACATATATGTACACAGACATGTCATGTTGTGCATTTCATGTTAGGCCATTGCTGGCTTTGAAGATAGAAGGGACCATGAGCTGAGGAATGAAGTCTCTAGAAGCTGAAAAAAATAAAAAATGACTGTCCTCTAGGACTTCCAGAAGGACGCTTCCAGGGGACAGAGCCACAGCCAGGAGCAGGCACACTGAAGAACACTCCCGCCAACAGAAGCCACACTTGTCATCCACTCAAGGTGGAAAGAACAGGTGTCCCTCTCAGTCTTTTAGCCCCTCCCCACCACTGCAAGGCCAGACAGTGCATGAAGCAGTATTGCCTTCAAAAACAGAAAATGGCAATGTCTGCAAAACTACAAAACCTCAGTGAAAGGGAATTTTCAGAAACCATGTTTCTGAGGTTACTTGAATTTTGAGGTCAACAGACAACAATGAGACACCACTTTGGGTTTCAGTCATCCATTGCCTGTGAAGCGTGAGCATCTGCTTAAACCTTTCATGACTAAGGATATGGCAGACCTTGAGGGACGTGAGTTCTGTTGAAACTCCCATTGGAGGCACTCAATAGATGTCATTGCAGAAGGGGTAGAGGAGAGGGTGGAACCTCACACCCCACTATCCCCAGAACTTGCCTTTAAAAGGAACAAATTAAGTCCCATGATCAGGTGGTGGTTGTGCAATTTGTCTCTTTTTCCTGACCACTGGATCCAGAGGCAGAGGAAGGGGATGTTTGTGAGTGTGTAGACACATTGTGTGTGTGTGTCCATATATGAACACACACAGAACATAGGTGCATGTGTTCTGGTTGATTCAGGTGTTTCGGAGGTAGCCAGTGTGTGAGAACGTTTATGCTCTGACACATTCTTCGCAGTAAGTCTGAGTAAGGATTTCAATGTGTAACATGCACAGATTGAGAGTGAGAAAATTAAACTGGATGTAATCACAGGAGGTGGGGGACAGAGGTGGGGGGATTAATGGATGCGCCCAGGACACATTATGGTCATGTGCAAACAGAGGATGTGGCTTAAGTTTGACTCCAAGCAGCAACCGAGACTCCCATAAGAACAAAACCCTCACCGCTATCCTATTATAAAAATTTCTAAAACATGCAAGTTTCTAAAACACACAATTTCTAAAACATACATGTTTCTTGTAGCCCCTGAAATAGTCTTTTTACTCTACAGCCACTCTGCTGTTTTGATTTGGAATCACAGAACTCATACAACCTTAAGGCTGGGAAGGTCTTAGATTTAAGCATTTAAAGCCTTCTTTCTATGGATGCCTAGAGAGAGAGGCTCCTTGCTCAGATCATACAGAGGCCAGGATGCTCTTACAGCCCCTCCTAGACTTTCTAGGACTCTCAGAACCTACTGGGTTCTTTAAAATCTTTTTAGCTTCCCAGAGATCTTAAATTGAGCAGGATTTCATAGGTTTACCTATCTGGTTTCTATACATGACATGGGTGAGAATGTGACAGAGACTCCATGGGACAGTCCCTAAATCCCAGGAGAAAGACAGGGCTCCATCACCTGCTGATGTCATCAAGGCCAGGGAGACTTACTGATGAAAAGTTGGAAAAGAAAAACAGAAAACTCACAGTACACACCACAAAAAGTGCAGGGACAACCCCGGAGGCTGGACTATCTGGATTGAACCATTGCAAACCTAGGTCCTGCAACACCAAATCCAGAAGGGAAACTCGGACGCCCTGTTGACACATTCGGCGCTGTAGAGAATGGCTTTTCTGGATTCCCACCTGTGGCAGGAGTAACTCAGCTTTTGAAAAGGGAAGCACATATATTTACAGCTGTGAGTGAACCATTTCCTATGCCTCCGCCCTTTGAGGGGCTGTAACAAAGCCAAGTGGTAGAATAACCCACCTGTTTGGGTAGCGCCCCACTTCACCCAGCAGGGTGTTGGTGGAGGCTACAGAGATTCCGTCACAGAGGAGCTCAGCCAAGACAGGCAGATAACAACTTGGGCATGAGGCTGGCATTCCCAAAGCCCACAAAAATGCCAACACACGAATGTTCACACAGCCAAATCTGCAGCTCATGACGCCACAAACAAATCTCTCAAACTTAACAAGGGAACCGCAACACTGCCTCCCCAGCAACCCCAGCAGAGGGCTTCCAGCGCACTGCAAGCACACCTACCCATCTGATGCTCCTGAAGTCGACAGAGTAGAAGAGATATTTGCGGGCCTCTTTCACAGAAGAGGAAATGAGTGCTGCAGCTTTCCCAGAGTCACGCAGCTGGTTAGGGACAGACTCCCAACAAAAACTACATCTGTCAACACCTGACCCAGGGCGCCTCCCTCATTACCACACCTTCCCCAAAAGAAGGCTCTTCCTCTGGGTTATGATCATAACAACTACGCTTGTTGAAACTTACACTGTGTCAGGCATTGTCCTAGGCATTTTGTGCACAAAAACCCTCTATGGAGGTTTCATCCCCACCGTATGGATGGAGAAAATGAGGCTCAGAGAGGTTAAGTGACTTGCTTAATGCCACACAGCTACTATGAATTGGTATAGGGATTCAAAGCCTGATCCATTGTCCCCAAAGCTCTTGGGACCAAACCACAGAGAAGAGGGCCATTTATCAGGGCTCCTGTAACACAGGCCTCCCCAGCCCCAGCTGCAGGACGAAGGGAAGCTACCTCATTGCCACGTTGCTGCCATCAATCACTATGGGTCGCAGGGAACTGGCCAGGCCTCCGATGTCCTCTTCCAGGGCTGTTCCCGGGACCCGCTGGGCGGAATCCGGGACCCCACAGGAGCCCCGAGGCACTAGCCTGGGTGCAGCCGGGTGCTCCAGGGCCCCTGGGCGGCTGCCTGTGCGGATAAGCTCCTGCAGCACGTCGTTGACCAGGGCGCCCTCGCCCAGCTTGCCCAGCACCCGGAGCACATCCTCCCGGTCATAGCCCAGCTTCTGGAAGAACTCCATCTTGCTGGGATGCTCCATGCTGTGCCCAGCGGCCACTGGCGTGGGTCCTGCCCCAGGCTTCCTCCTCTCAGAGCCCTGCAGGCATGAGCTAAAGAGAAAAAAGGCATCCATCAGGTGTTTTCTGGGCAGACTGGGGCAAAGGCAAGGGATGCCTGCGCTGGCTCCCTCCTGGCCCTGCTGTCAGGAATCAGGTGGAGCAGTCTGCTTGGGGATTTTCAGCTGCTCAGTGTGGCTGCGGAGCTGCAGAGGCAATCATGCTGCTTTCTCAGTACGCTGTCTGAGGCCTTCACCTCACACTGCTTGGCAGGGAACCCCGACCACACACCAGGGCTGCAGGGGCTGAGCATGGTGGCAGGGAACCCCGACCACACACCAGGGCTGCAGGGGCTGAGCATGCACCCAGCACTCAGGACGGGCCAGGCACCACCTGAAACGATGAGACTGGCCCCAGGGGCACCGGCCCCTTCTAACTGCCAAATCCAACAGCATTTTCACAGTCCTCGCCTTATGCAACCTCTCTGCCACTTTTGAAACTGGGAACCACGCCTTGACTTGTTATTTTAAATAAAAAAAGTATAGACTGCCCTTACTTGAAACTATCTGCTCCCTTAGGCTGTATAACTTGGCCTGATTCTCCTCTTAATTTGGTCCAGCTCTTCCCCTTCTCCTTCAGTGTTGGGGTGTCGCCCAGGCCCTCCACCAGCCCCTGTATTCTGATGGGCCCCACAGCTGCATGTCTGGCTCACACCTCCCACCGAGCACCAGGCTCAGTTGTAAGTCTGGGAGATAAACACCGTGCATGCTATTTAAATTAAGTGCTGTGGGAACTCAGAATGCTGTCATTCAACAGACATTTGCTAAGTGACTATTTCAGTGGTTCCCAAAGTGTGATTTAGGGAAGCTTGGGGGACTCCAAGATTTTTTCAGGGCATCTTCAAAGTAAAAACTAGTTTTAGGCTGGGCACAGTGGCTCACACCTGTAATCCCAGCACTTTGGAAGGCCAAGGCAGGCAGATCATGAGGTCAGGAGTCAGAGACCAGCCTGGGCAACATAGTAAAACCCCATCTCTACTAAAAACACAAAAATTATCCAGGCATGGCGGTGCGCACCTGTAGTCCCAGCTACTCGGGAGGCTGAGGCAGGAGAATCACTTGAACCCGCGAGGTGGAGGTTGCAGTGAGCCGAGATCACACCACTGCACTCCAGCCTGGGCAATAGAGCAAGACTCTGTCTCAAAACAAAAAACAAAAAAAAAAACTCTATTTTTATAATTACGCTAAGATGTAATTTGTGTGCTTGACTCCTGTCCTCTCCTAAGGATACAACAGAATATTCCAGAGACTACATATCGTGTGATACTACAACAGCTTGAATGCAGAAACAGGTGTGAGAATTCAGCTGTCTTCTATTAACCCAGACATGAAACAGATTTGCAGAAATATGAATCAGCGCCACACTTCTTACTAATATTTTTTTGTTTTGGAAAATAAAGTTATTTTTCATGAAGGTATGTCAATATGTCAGTGTAATTGGTTTATTACTATGCAAAAATAAACGAATTTTTTCAAGTTCTTAGTTTTTCGTTTCTAATAAAGTACCTATCCAGTGACAGACAGAATCCACATAAACAAAGGCTCTTTGGGACCCTTAATAATTTTTAAGAGTATAAAGGTGTTCTGAAACTAAAAAGTTTCTTCTTAAATCTAGAGCTGCTCCAACAGGTATTTCCATGTAGCTGGCTCCATGCAGGTGACCTACAGACACATCCTCCTTCTCCCAGGGTGCCAGTACAGAAAGTCCAGTTCTTTACTCCCTCAATCTGGCCCTCTCAAGCCTACCTCCTACTGTCCCCTGCCCCACCCACGCCTCAGTCCTGCCGTCTTCATCCCACACACCGTGACTGCAGCAGCCTCCATCTAGCTTGTAGCCACCACTGCATTTCTAAAATGAGTCTGATCATGTTAGCCACCTGCTCAGAAATCTCCTCATTGGCTACAAGAAAGACACCAAATTCCTAGGCAGGCTGCTGAGCTTGTGACAAAGTTGCTGTCTACCTCACTGCCCATCCCAGCCCACCTGACCCCTTCTCTAGAGACTTGCCGAACATTTCCCTGCCCCCCAGGCATTCTAGAATGTTCTCACACCAAGCATGGTGGCTCCTGCCTATAATCCTTGCACTTTGGGAAGCTGAGGTAGGAGGATTGCCTGAGGCCAGGAGTTCAGAAATAGCCTGGACAACATAGTGAGACCGCATCTTTATAAAAAATTTTAAAAGTTATCGGGGCATGGTGGTGTGTGCCTGAAGCCCCAGCTACTTAGGAGGCTGAGACAGGAGGATGACTTGACCCCAGGAAGTCGAGGCTGCAGTGAGCTGTGATCACACCACCGCACCCCAGTCTGGGTGACAGAGCAAGCTCCTGCCTCTTAAAAAATAAAACTAAACTTAAAAAACAAACAAACAGGCTGGGTGCGGTGGCTCATGCCTGTAATCCTAGCACTTTGGGAGGCCAAGGCAGGTAGATCACGAGGTCAGGAGTTCAAGACCAGCCTGGCTAAAATGGTGAAACCTCGTCTCTACTAAAAATTACAAAAAAAATTAGCCAGGTGAGGTGGCATGCACCTGTAAACCCAGCTACTCAGGAGGCTGAGGCAGGAGAATTTCTTGAACCCAGGAGACGGAGGTTGCAGTAAGCTAAAATCATGCCACTGTATTCCAGGCTGGGTGACAGAGAGAGATTCTGTCTTAAAAAACAAAAAACAAACACACAAAAAAACAGAATGTTCTCGGCACCGTGTTTCTGAATATGTTTTCCTCTCTACCTGGAAGGCTCTTTTTGTCTTAGAAAACATCAAGATTCAGCTCAGATGTTATTCAGAGCAGTCATCCCTGAGCCTACAGACAGAGTGAGCAGCTCGGCCATCTCATCTACCACAGCACTTTGCTCACACCTGTCTTACGACACAGTGAATTATCATTCATCTGTTTCTCAAGAGACTGAATTACTCAGGTATCCTGACCTATTGCCTCAGAATCACCAGCACCAGCACGATGCCTAGTGTATCTGAGGAGTTCAATGGATTTTTTTTTTTTTTTAATTTTTAGAGATGGGGTCTCACTATGTTGCCCAACCTGAACTTGAACTCCTGGGCTCAAGTGATCCTCCTACCTTAGCCTACTAAGTAGCCAGGACCACAGGTGCGTGCCACCATGCCCTAACAGATTTCTAAAAATAAATGTCCAAAGCTAAATTTATCTTCTCTCCTCAAATATGTTTTCCCCTGGGCTTCCCACCTTACTGAATGGTATCCCCCTGAGGCCCAGAGAAGAAATCTCAAAGCCCCCTTTCACTCCTCTCTTTTCCTCACCTCTACATCCCATTGGCCAATAATCCTGCTTCCCAGACACTGTCCATAATCACCCTGCTTCTTACACTCACACCCTAGTTCCTCCCCCTTACACTCACACCAAATACGCTCACACCATTTACACTCACACCATTTATACTCACAGCACCACTCTAGTTCATTCACTCCTTTGTGTAGCAAACATTTGCCACTCACCAACTCAACACCAGCACTGTGCTGCATCCCAGCTCTATGAAAACAAAATAAGACAACCCCGTGTCAACTCATTCACAATCAATTCAAGAAAACAGACAAAAAGTGTAAACCATGAGCCATAAATCATGAAGATAAGCACACGCTTTTAATTAGAAAAATGTGCTTTCAAACGTGGTACATATATATCATAGAATACTATGCAGACATAAAAAAGAATAAAATCATGTCCTTTGCAGCAACATGGTTGGAGCTGGAGGTCATTATCCTAAGTGAATTAACGCAGGAACAGAAAACCAGATAGCACATGTTCTCAGCTATAAGTAGGAGTGAAACTCTGAGTACACAAGGGCGCAAAGAAGAGAACATAGACACCAGACCCTACTTGAGGATGGAGGGCAGGAGGAGGGCGAGGACTGAAAAACCATCTATCAGGTACTAAGCTCATTACCTGGGTAACAAAATAATCTGTACACCCAACTCCCACCACATGTAATTTATCCATGTAACAAACCTGCACACGTGTGCTTGAACCTAAAATAAAAATTGGAACCTGGGCACAGTGGCTCATGACTGCAATCCCAGCACTTTGGGAGGCCTAGGTGAGTGAATCACTTGAGCCCAGGAGTTCAAGACCAACCTGGGCAACATGGCAAAACCCCAACTCTACAAAAAATAAAAAATTAGCTGGGCGTGTTGACTCACACCTATAGCCTCAGCTACTCAGGAGGCTGAAGTGGAAGTTGAAGGGAGTTGAAGGCTACGGTGAGCCATGATTGTGCCACTGCACTCCAGCCTGGGCAGCAGAGCAAGATCCTGTCTCAAAAAAATAAAATAAGAAAGAAAAAAAAAAGAAAGAAAGAAAAATGTGCTATCAAAATACAGGTGAGGATAAGGTCAGGAGTTCGAGGCCAGCCTAAACAACACGGAGAAACTTCATCTCTGCTAAAAATACAAAATTAGCCATACATGGTGGCACATGCCTGTAATCCCAGCTACTCAGGAGGCTGAAGAAGGAGAATCAATTGAACCTGGGAGGCGGAGGTTGCAGTGAGCCAAGATCACGCTATTGCACTCCAGCCTGGGCAACAAGAGCGAAATTCCATCTCAAAAGAAGTAAATAAATAAAAGGTGAGGAATGTCTTATCTTCCTTTGAGGGGCAGGGGAAGGCCAAAGAACTGCTGGAGACAAGTGAATTGCACAGTGAAGGGAGGCTGGCTCTTCCAGGGGACAAAGGGCCCTGTCACACTCCACACTATCATCACGGTGGGGCCCAACCCACCCTCCAGGCTCTTGGCCACCTGCCACCAGCCCAGCTTTACCTCCTCCCTGACTGGCGACCAGTCCTTCTCTCTCAGGACGGTGGTCTCCTCAGCTGAGGTCCACCAGCAGCCCAGACTCCATGGAAGAGAAGGACATTCACCCAGCCTGTCAGGCCAGCCTCACACCAGGACAACGCACTGAGCCCGAAAGGCCTCCAGGCAGGCTCTTCCCTCGCCCAGAACATCTGCCCCACAGGTGAACCCCACTGTCACACACCTCAGAAGCCTTCCCAGCCCTGACAGCCCCAGCCACCTCCACCCCTCCCCATGCAGACACTGCATTTGTTTTAATTTGGAAGAAAAAGAGAGAAGGGACGAGGGAGGAGATGAAGGAGAAAGAAAAGAGGGTGAGAACTAAGAGAGAGGAAGGAACAGGCGACAGGAACAGAAAAGTTCACCTTCCTGTGGCTCGGCCTTTATTTATTTATTTTTTTTTTTGAGAGCGAGTCTTGCTCTGTCACCCAGGCTGGAGTGCAGTGGCACAATCTCAGCTCATTGCAACCTCTGCCTCTGGGGTTCAAGCCATTCTCCTTCCTCAGCCTTCTGAGTAGCTGGGATTACAGGTATGCGCCATCACGTCCAGCTAATTTTTGTATTTTAGAGACCGGGTTTCACTAAGTAGGTCAAGTTGGTCTCGAACTCCTGACCTCAAATGATCCGCCCACCTCAGCCACCCAAAGTGCTGGATTACAGGCGTGGCTCGGCCTTTGTATCCATGCCCTTCCCGTTACCCCTGGAGGGAAGATGGGACAGATATGCGTGTTCCCTTCCTGACGGTGAGGAAACGGAGGCTCGGAAAGTAAAGGCTGCCTGGCTAGTAAATGGCGGAGACGATCGGCGGTGACGAAAACAATTTGTCGTTTTGAGCTGTGTTCAGGACACAGGCAGCATCTTGTTGGCGCAGACGTGAGAGAATCCAAACGCGGCTGGGTCAGGTGACTGCTCCTCGGTCGCCAAGGAGCGGCTCTGAGGAAAGGGCGAGTTTCCTTTGTCACTTGCATTCGGGGTAACAGAAACATGAGCGTTTCCAAAACAGAAACACCGGGGGTTTCACCTGGGGGGTGCGGGGAGAGCCGCTGGGGGCCGCAGTGGGGGGCAGCTCCCCTAGGGACCCTCGGGTCTCAGCCCACAGCCCATTTTCTGAGGACACTGAGGGGTAAGCGTGGCCAGGCGCGCTGCTTTCACACCAAACTGATGGAAAGAACGCGCCTACTGTAGGGGCTTTTCCCCCTGAGACTTTAACATCAACTTGGTTCCTTTTTAACGCTTCTAAATAGGAAACAAACAGTGGCGGTGGGGGGCGCTGCTCTTGGGAGTCCCCCGGGGCCCTGGGGCGCAGCCTCCGCAGGGACGCGATGGTCTCCGAGCTGCAGCTCTGCCAGCCGCGTGCCGTTCCTTCCTTCCTATTTTTAAGACCGGAAAGTCTGCACGACTTCGTTTCGGTTTTCTTCCTCCATCCTGACTGGAAGTCACACGCAGCCCGGATGATTAGCGGCAACGCTTAGAAAATCTTCCAAGTGGCCCCTCGAGGCCTTGGGAGGTCGCAAGAGCGGCTTCCTGTGGTCAGGGCGGGCTCCTGGGGTGGGTTCGGGCTGGCCTGGAAGTGGGGGGGACATGGCCGGAACAGATCAGATCTGTCCATTCTAGAATCATCCAACCCAGGGCAGGGGCCCAGGTTCTAGTCTGCAGCCACTGCCTGGAAGAGCTCTGAGGAAAAGACGAAAAGAGAAACAAAGAGGAAAGAAGTCGGGCGGGGGCATGGGGGGAAGCGGCAGCTCCCATGGGCGCTTCCTTGTATATTATCACATCGGTGGGAACCCCGTGTCCTGGAAGCCACCTCATTACTCCCAGTGCAGAGGAGGAAACTGAGGCAAACAGGCCCCCACTGTAAATAGGGGAGACCAGACTCCCAAAGGTGGCAATTTGCCGAGACCAGAGGGCACTGCCCATGGCTGCTCAGGTGCCCCCCGAAGGCCACCGGCCACCACGAGGCGCCACAGAGCAGAGAAACCCACCCCAGCCCCAAGACCAGCACACTCAACACCTCGCCCCCGCCCCTCACATCTGTTCCCGGGTCACCTCTGCCAGCGCCACAGAAATCCACAAAATTCCAGCCTCCAGAAACTCGGCCACCAGGTGAGGAGGAAGCTGTCCTGCCCTGAGCTTCTCCACAGAGGCCAAGCAGACAGTTTCTGGTTCAGCTCAGAGCTAGAGGCCCTCACTAGCTGTCAGTTCAGTTAGATTTTGAGGAAGTCACAGAGAGGCAAAGACTGCAGCTCATGGGGCGAGTGTTCCTTGTGGCCTTCTTTTTTCTTTTTAAGGGAACATGTATTTTTTAAAATTTTTCCTTAAATTGTGGTGAATTATACACAACATAAAATGTACCACTGTAGGTCAGCAGCACGGAGCACGTTCACACTGCTGTGCAGCCAACGCCAACATTCAGCTCCGGATCACTTTTCAGCCTGCAGAACTGAAACTGCTCATTAAACAGTAACTTCCCATTGCCCGTCCCCAGCCCCCAGCACCCACCACAGTACTTTCTGTCTCAATAAATAAATGATTCTAGGCAGCTCTTAGGATTGGAACTGTACAGTATTTGCCCTTTTGTCACCAGCTTATTTTGCTCTACCTTGTATCTTCATTTTGTTGCTGTTGTTTTCTGAGATGGAGTTTCGCTCTTGTTGCCCAGGCTGGAGTGCAATGGCACGATCTCGGCTCACCACAACCTTTGCTTCCCGGGTTCAAGCAATTCTCCTGCCTCAGCCTCCTGAGTAGCTTGGATTACAGGCACGCGCCACCATGCCCCACTAGTTTTTTGTATTTTTAGTAGACATGGGGTTTCTCCATGTTGGTCAGGCTGGTCTTGAACTACCAATCTCAGGTGATCCACCCACCTCGGCCTCCCAAAGTGCTGGGATTACAGGCGTGAGCCACTGGCACCCGGCCTACATTGTATCTTCCATACAAACTCCTGGGCTCAAGCAATCCTCCCATTTCAATCTCCTGAGTAGCTGGAACTATGGGCACATACCACCATGCCTGGCTGATTTTTTAAATTTTTTGTAGGGATGGGGGTCTCAGTAAGTTGCCCAGGCTGGTCTCACAGTCCTGGCGCCTTAAAGTGCTGAGATTACAGTCATGAGCCTCCACTCCCAGCCAGTTTCTCTCATTTGTAAGGCTGAATAACATTCCTTGGTATGTATACACCACATCATGATTATCCGTTCACCCATGGACACCTGGGTTGTCTCTGCCTCCAGGCCTCTGTGAACGATGTTGCTGTGAACATAAGTGTGCCGGCTTGGCCTTTTGCTTTCTCAAACTCATCCCCTGCTCTTCTACAATGCGATGGTATCTCTAAGGTGGACACACAAGCATTTAAGCCCTGACCCGCATCCTGGAACGGCGCTACTGCAGTCCACACCCCAGCCCGTTCATGCGTCAGGGATAGGCATCCCACGGTGGGTATCACCTGGCTTTGGAGAGAAGCTCATAATCTTGGGGGCCACCGCTGAGGTTTCTTATGCTGCAGGGAATTGATCTTCACTACAGTCGGAGTAAGACTTAGCTCAATTTCCTCATTAGCCTTCATGAAGCCCACAGAGGTATCCTCTATAAGAGATGCTGTCAAAAGTTCCTGACTGCAATCAGCCAGGAAACTAGGCTTCCATAGATGATAACCAGTCTAGAAGATGCTCTCATGAGCAAGGTGGTGGGGCTCAAGTGTGCCAGGAACTGCTACTTTTTCTGATTTCCTAACATGTAAATAGCTTCAAAGGCAAAGCAGGAGCTTTTACAGAAACCAAAGAGCTTCCTCTGTTTAATCTTTCCCCCAAAAAAAATGACCTGGAAATTAAGCCCAATTTTGCTAAAATGAGCAATGATTTAACCTCGAGGAAATTAAAGAGGTTTATTTTTTTATTTAGCACTTAAAATAATTTAGAGTGTGAGAAATCAGATTGCTCAGGTCACACTCCCCGAGGACTGCTCTCTGCCGGCCCTCCTCCCGCCCCTGCCCCAGGATTCCAGTCCCTGTCCTCCACATCTGGACTCAAGTCTGCGTGGTATGGGCCACACTGACTGATGGCCAGGGGACATGCACTCACCAGCAGGGTGTGTCCCTCCGGTCTTCACAGTCGCCAGCAGCCTTCATACCAATGTTCTCCTGCCAGTGAGGCCGGGCCCCCAGGTGCCACTGGAGTCAGAGGAGGGCAGCCGGCATACGCCACACAGCCACTAGGAGCCACTTCATGCCAACGCTCCACTTCCTGCACGCCGCAGTCACATTCAGCTGCAAAGGTAGTTATGCTTTGGGTTTTTTTTTAAACAAAAAAAAAAAAAAAAGGAAAGGAAGAAAGACTTGAAGTTTGCGCCGCAGCATGAGTCACAGAATCAAAGTTCAGCCACCACATGCAAAATGAACCCTCTGTGAGGGCAGCAAGTCTCTGTGAGGGTGGCAGCTGGGCTTGGCTGCACAGAAAGCCAGGAGAGGCTCCATGAGAAGAACAGCATTCAGAGGCCACAGGGAGAACCCTTAGAACAGAAGTTCTCTTGTGCCTCCAGCTGGGAAGATCATCTGATCTAGCTGCTCCTGGGGAAAGTCAGTACTCAGAGCTAGACACAAACATAGCTTGCAGGAGGAAAGAGTGTCAGGGCAAGGGAGAGGGCAGAGATGGCTACGGAGATATGGGTGCACTGGGGACATGGCGCAGGGAGGACTCCGTCCCTGCCTTCACAAAGGGGGAATTCCAAGCAAGTCACAAAGTCCTTCCAACCAAGGCATTTGCCTGTGTCAGAGATAACCTGGCCCTGTGGCTTCCTACTGCTACCTTGCATAGAGAAGGTGGTGGCTTCTCTCCCACTTGGCAGGGGAAGTCTGACCCCACCTGACCACAGCATCCTGCAGGCTGCCTGGCCTCCAGCCTCACCAGAACTCTGAGACTATTTCCTAAATTTGGTGATGCCCATCAGGGGTCAGAAGGAAAGAACACAATCAAACCACACAGTAGCCCACCTCCCAACAAACCACTGTGTCTCTGGCAGTGACTTACCCAAGGACACACAGTCAGCCAGTTGGCCAAGTTGGGTTTAGAACCCAGGTGTTTGTGCTGGGAGGTAAGAATGGCACAAGGTAACTGGAATGTGTAGCTCTATTTCTTGATTCACCTGCTGTCTCCCCCCAAAAATGTGAAGCAGTATAGATGATTAAAACACATAGAGAGTAGAATAATTAAAAAATAAGGCCAGGTGCAGTGTCTAACTCCTATAATCCCAGCACTCAGGGAAGCCGAGGCAGAAGGACTGCTTGAGCCCAGGAGTTCAAGACCAACCTGGGCAACATGGCCAAACCCCATCTCTACAAAAAATACAAATATTAGCCAGGCATGGTGGCATACACCTGTGGTCCCAGCCACTCAGGGGGCTGAGGTAGACTAATTGAGCCCAGAAGGCCGAGGCTGCAGTGAGCTGTGATTGCACCACTGCTCTCCACCCTGGGGGACAGAGTGAGAGCCTATCTCAAAAACAAATAAATAAAACTATTTTTTAAAGTTCAATCAGAAATCTTTAGAAGAAGAAAAGAACATCATACTAGAAAGCTGAGTTACAGTAGCCACTGCATTGATTGGAACACTAATTCTAGCTTTGAAATTTTCTGGTACAGTGGATTTTCTAGTAACAGCTCCCATTTGGTTTCATTTGGTGTTTGTTTGTGACGGAGTCTCGCTCTGTCACCCAGGCTGGAGTGCAGTGGCGCAATCTCAGCTCACTGCAACCTCTGCCTCCCCGAGTTCAAGTGATTCTTGTGCCTCAGGCTCCCAAGTAGCTGGGATTACAGATGCGAGCCACCACATCTGGCTAATTTTTGGTTTTTTGTTTATTTGTTTTTTGAGACAGAGTCTCACTCTGTTGTCCAAGCTGGAGTGCAATGGTGCGATCTCAGCTCACCACAACCTCCGCCTTCCAGGTTCAAGCAATTCTGCTGCCTCAGCCTCCTGAGCAGCTGGGACTACAGGTGCATGCCACCATGCCTGGCCTAATTTTTGTATTTTTAGTAAAGACAGGGTTTCACTATGTTGGCCAGGTTGGTCTCGAACTCCTGACCTTGTGATCTGCCCACCTCAGCTTCCCAAAGTGCTGGGATTACAGGCATGAGCCACTGCACCTGGCCAATAATTCCCATTTGTTTAGCACCAATGATATATACGGTACTTAACATCAAAGTGGCCTAATCCCCACAATAGCTTGACAGCATTGAAATAATTATTTCCATTTCCAGACGAGGTCATTGGGGTTGAGAAAGGGTAGCCAACCTGCCATGTTTACTCATTAAGTGATTGAGTGAAGATGGAAATCCAGGGCCACCAGGCTCAGAAACATGCTTTGCACAACCACACGTTGCCTCCAAGCTCCCAAAACCGTAAAAAAGGATGCAGAGTTTCCAAGAGAAATAAACACATTCCTGATGTTAAATTTTAGGAGAAATCTAAATCCTTATGTTGAGTAACAAATCAGTCAATATCTTCAGCTCAAGTCCTGTAGAAGATGCCGTGTTGGTCTTCAAATGCCCATTCTTCACTACAAGTAAAAGCTGAGCGTATATAACCTCATACCTCAACTCAAGGGAAGGCATTTCTATGGGGAAATGAGCTAACACTGTCCAAGAGCCTTGCTCTCTGATCATCTAACTGAATAAAGCAACAGAACTCAGAGACACATAGTGCAATGGCTTCCTTGGATGATCTCTTTCAAACACGAAATGGCCCAGCCACATTTTTTGCAGGTATGAGATAGCAACCGATCAAAAAAGAAACTCTCTGAGGATATTGCCAAGTGCAACCCAGCTGTGCATTTAAAAAAAGATGGGCTGGGCACGGTGGCTCAGGTCAGTAATCCTAGCACTTTGGGAGGCCGAGGTGGGTGGATCACGAGGTCAGGAGTTTGAGACCAGGCCAATATAGTGACACCCCATTTCTACTAAAAACACAAAATTTAGCGGGCATGGTGGCATGAGCCAGTAGTCCCAGCTACTCTGGAGGCTGAGACAGAAGAATCGCTTGAACCCAGAAGGCAGAGGTTGCAGTGAGCCAATATCACACCACTGCACTCCAGCCTGGGCAACAGAGTGAGACTCTGTCTAAAAAAAAAAAAAATAGAAAAGAAAGAAAAAGAAAAGATGGGCCTGGGCAATGAAATGTAGGAATCCTGATGTGTACTCAGCCCCAGGTGAGCAGCACACCTGCACAGGATAGGACCACAGTGGGCAGCACCAAGTGCTTCTCAAAAGGGATTCTGGAATCTGCTCAACTAGAAGACAAGCAAGCATTTGGTGGAGACCCCCAAAATTCTGCCTTCAATATTGGAGACATTATTTAGGCCAGAAAAATGGTTATTAGATTTTCTCTATTAAGAAAAGAGCCAGCCAGGCCTGGTGGCTCACGCCGGTAATCCCAGCACTTTGGGAAGGCTGAGCCGGGCAGATCACAAGGTTGGGAGTTAGAGACTAGCCTGGCCAACATGGTGAAACCCCCTCTCTACTAAAAATACAAAAATTAGCTGGGCGTGGTGACAGGCGCCTGTAATCCCAGCTACTCAGGAGGCTGAGGCAGGAGAATCGCTTGAACTCGGGAAGCAGAGGTTGCAGTGAGCTGAGATTGCACCATTGCATTCACTCCAGCCTGGGCAACAACAGCAAGACTCCATCTCAAAAAAAAAAAAGAAAAGAGCCACGCTACAGTCTTTTTACAGTATCTGATTTAGAGAAAACTCATCTTGAATCCTCCACAGCTAAAATGATTTTGCTGCCATGACTCCGAGAAGCCAGAAGAATGAAACCATTGTTGAGGCTACTTATTGCACACTTGGGCAAGAAATAAGGCCTTCCAGGGGTAACAACAAGTTTAGCTACTACATTGCTGACCCAAAACAAGGCTCTGCCTCTGAAAGATGTAAGAGAAGTTCATGGTGGCTGAGTGTGGTGGCTCACGCCTGGCCAAGGCGAGTGGATCACAGGTCAGGAGTTCAAGACCAGCCTGCCCAACATAATGAAACCTAGTGTCTACTAAAAGTACAAAAATTAGCCAGGCATGGTGGCACATGCCTGTAGTCCCAGCTATTCAAGAGGCTGAGGCAGGAGAATCGCTTGAACCTGAGAGGCAGAGGTTGCAGTGAGCTGAGATTGCCCCACTACACTCCAGTCTGGGCAACAGAGTGAGACTCTGCCTCAAAAAAAAAAAAAGAGAGAGAGAAGGCCATGGCCTCCCTCTGGCCATGGCAGGGGGCTGATGTCCACACATCTCTGGACACTATTAGAGCACTGAGAAGAGTGGGGCAGTGAGCCTCACACACGTTCTTCTTCCGCCCTGTTTAAAATTGGCATTGAATCTGCCCCAAGGCTATTTCTGCTCATTCTAGCCCTTGTGGTGAGACTGAGGTCTATGCTTTTGGGAAGCGGTGCAGAGATGTTGAGACAGTGGGTCGCAGACATGTGGGTACAGATCATCCCACAGAGAAAGACACAAATTCCCAGAGAGATAACTGTCCTAAAGACTGGACATTCCTCCATGGGTCCAAGCGGGGACCCCCTGGCTTGGCTTCCCCTTCTATCTACAGCATCTGTGAACACCACTAATATCATCGGTTGTGTAACCTGTTTTATTAGTGAGCTAAAAGAGAGTATATGTAGCTATTTGCAGTGGTGACATGGACACACATGGGTTGGGCCTCACTAGAAACGGCTCAGCTGCTCTCCAACGGCTCGTTTACCAGCAGCATGGGAGGGGTCCCCATTTCCCCAAATCCTGCCAGTATCTGGGATTAAGACAATCCCAGTGCTTTCTGGCCATCTGATGTGTGAGAAATGGTATGTCATCGTTATTTTAACTTTCATTTCCTTGGTTGCTAGTGAACTTAAGGATCTTTTTATATCTTTCTTGGCGTTGTAATTTTCCTTTTTCACCCTTCGATGCCCATTTTCCTATTCTGTAGACTTTTTTCTTTTGATTTATATTAATGTTTATATATTTTGTTTGTTTTGAGATAGATAGGATCTTAGTCTGCTGCTCGGGCTGCAGTGCAGTGGCATAAACATAGCTCACTGTAGCCTTAAACTCCTGGGCTCAAGGCATCCTCCCAGCCAAGTATCTGGGACTACAGTTGCGCATCACCACACCCAGCTAATGTTTTAAATTTTGCAGAAGCGTCATCTTGCTTCTGCAAAATTTGAGAGCAGGCTGGTCTCAAACTCCTGGGCTCAAGTGATCCCCCTGCCTCAGCCTCCCAAAGTGCTGGGATTACAGGCATGAGCCACAACCCGCCCCCCATCAAGTTTTACTTCTTTATAATCAGATCTTTAATCATGACCCGGGAATTATTTTGATAAACAGTATGAGAAATAATCTAAGCTTTTTTGTTGTTGTTTCTTTTTTCTTTTCTTGCATATCTTGGTAGGGTAAGAATCTAAGCTTATAATGGTAGGCAGTTAGGTGTCACGAACTCGAAGCCAGAGTGCTTTGCTACTTATTAACTGTGTAACTTTGAGCAAATTATCTAATCTTTGCACTTCAGTTTCCTAATGTGTAAAATGGGAATAAATAATCTTACCTATCTCATAAGGATACTGTGAGAACTACATGAATTAGTGTCTGCAAAGGACTTAGAAGAATGCCTGGTGTATAGAGGCCCACTTTTCTGGAAGCTATAGTTCTCTTACAAAAAGCCCTGACGGAGCTACGAGATGGTCTGTACTAACACACTACCCACTGCTAGGAAGGGAGACAATGAAAACACATGGGCACTATGGGAAACAGGTAGAGGAAGCTTGGGTTGAAGGCAAAGAACGAGTGATGATCCACATGTTAAAATGAAGCACCGGCCAGGTGCGGTGGCTCAGGCCTACAATCCCAGTACTTTGGGAGGCCGAGGCAGGTGACTCCCCTGAGTTCAGGAGTTAGAGACCAGCTGGCCAACATGGTGAAACCCTGTTTCTACTAAAAATACAAAAATTAGTTGGGCATGGTGGCAGGTGCCTGTAATCCCAGCTACTAGCAAGGCTAAGGCTGGAGAATTGCTTGAACCCGGGAGGCGGAGGTTGCAGTGAGCCATTGCACTTCAGCCTGCTGGACGAGAGGGAAACTGTGTCTTAAAAAAATAAAAAATGAAGCACCTACTTCTGGGCTAATGATCTGGGCTTATAAGTGGTCACATTTGAATGC